TAAATAAAAATGTATCAATAATAAGAGTGGATCATGAGCTAAAGATAATCATTTTATGCTCTTCGGGATCAATAAAAGTGAAATGTATTTTTATCCGGGTGGTGACCAACAAGGGGTAAAACAATGAGCGCAGATTGAGAGGTGGCAGGCGGGGCCCTCCAGGGTGCACAGAGGTACAAGGGGCTCTCCTAAGGGTGGGGTGGCGCGGGCATATACAGGACACGTGGGCACTCAGAGATTCCGCGGGAGCGCACGCATGGGTGCTGCGGGGGCGCACCGGGTGCGTGAGGGCTGGAAGAGCCGCCATTCTCCTCTAGACTTTTTTGCTCAGAGCATGCGTTATCTCCCCTAGCTTGTGGATTCCTAACAACACAGGGCGACTGATTTTGTAGTGTAGCCTTGTCCTTCTGTCTCTTTGTTTGTGCCCTCCCCTGTCACCTGTATGCCCCTTGGCTCAGCATCAGCTGCTCACCTCTCTGGGGTGTGTGTAGGTGACTTCTGGGCTCAGGTGAGGTTTAAACAAAACCTCATTGTTCCAGGATTAACCTGAGTCCTGCATCTGCCCCACCCTGCCTGCCAGGGGGAACCAGGCAGGTTGGGGCTGGGAGTTCCGGCGCCTGTTTATGCTCAGCTCACGCACCGTCCCTGCACCTGGAAGGTCTATCCCTACCACCCTACGACCATCCCCTGAGTCTACCTGGCTCCCAACCCTGTGTAGATCTGTCTATGCTGTCATCCCGGATTTCAAAGGATTTTTTTTTTTTTTTTAGTAGCCTGGAGACTTTGCAATCAGCAAGATAAATTTTTTATTTAAGACCTTGCAAAGCTGGGCCTGTTCAACCTCACTAGCGGCTCCTCGGAAACCCATAGGGTGGGAATCGACTCAAAGGCACTTAACAACAAAGCCAGGGCTCAGCTCACCTCCCCCACCTCTTCTTCCACCTCAAAGGGGCAGTAATCTGGACACCAAGATGGAGCCTGAGGCCAAGGGTTCACACTGGAGGCCTGGTTATCCATCTGGTCTCTGAGCCTCAGTTTTATCATCTGTGAAAGGGGTATAACAATGCCTTCCAAACTTCAAGGATTTCTGCCAGTTCTCTCCCCACTTGCCCTAAGGGACCCAGGAACTCTCTCCTCCTGGAGCTCCTTGCCATGATTCCCACCCCTGGCGCCCCTTGTACTCCCTCATTGTCTCTTCTCTCCTCCAGCTTCACCTGGCTGTGCGGACATGTCCACCGGAACATCCTCTCCAAGTTCACAGGCCAAGCGGTGGAACTATTTGACGAGGAGTTCTGCCACCTCTACGCCTCCTCCAAGCCGGTGATGGGCCTGAAGTCCCCCAGACTGGCCACACCGCTGCAGTCCAGAGTGGGCCCCAGTCCCCACCGCGGCCCCCTGAGTGACGATAGCAGCTCAACCAGTGACCGAACGTCCTCCAACCCTTTCAGCAGCCCGTCGACTGGCAGCAACCCTCAGAACCAGAGTCTGTCCGTGTCCTCGGGGCCCAGCAGCCCTCTGGTCCCAAACCCACCTGCTGCCTCCAGGCTCCAGCCCTACCATGGCCCATGGGGAGCCTCTTCAGCACAGGCCCCTTTCTCCGCGAGGCCTTTAGACAGCCCCCCGGTGCTCTACAGTAACCTCAATACCTACAGGCCCACGCGGCTACAGCTGGAACAGCTGGGCCTGGTGCCCAGGCTGACCCACACCTGGAGGCCCATTCTGCAGGTCTCACCACACTTCTGACGGCTGTGCCTTCTGCTGTCCTCCCCGGCCCAAAGAACCCACCTCAAAGGCTAGCAGCTCTCAACCTGCTTCCCCTTGAACAGGGGCAGTTGGACAATATTGTTGCCTATGTTAATGTCCCCAGGCACCTACCAAACCCCACCAGCCCCTGCACATTCAGCCAACCCACGCCATTTCAATTCCAGAAGATTCCAGAGGGTGGGAGGGAGTTAGCAGGCAAAGTTATGAAAATAGAGTCTCTTTTTTCCAAACTGTGTTGCAAAGTGTGTTCATATTCATGTTTCCCAAATCTCTGTAATGTGGGAAGGGGCAGACACAGCCTATGTTTTTATAAAGGAGTAAACTTGATGGTGACCAAGTTGCTCCTTTATTCCCTAGTGCCCCTAAGAAGTCCCCTCCACAGAGGTCAGGTGAGGACATGAACACATCCTGGAGATTTCTGGGAAAGATGAGAAAGCTCATCTTCTCTGGAAAGAAGTAAACTGGGGCTGGTAGATGAATTAGGGATGAAGCTGGAGAACCTAAGTTGTGTGGGGCTATTTGAAGAAGTAAGCCTCGGATGGGCAGGCCAACGGGTGCTTGCGTTGGACAAGGCAGGTTAGCAGGGTCACGTTCCAGTCTCAAAAGAGCTGTGGCTGGCCTGGATATCAGGTTTGAAGAGTGAAGTCCTTCGAGTCTTGACTGGATCATTGTGGCTTTTCAGAGTCTGGGCGTGGCCCTTGTGGTGCTGGTGGTTGTTAGGGGCCATCTAGTCGGTTCTGACTCATAAACCACCCTGTGAAAAACAAAACAAAACATTCGCTGATCCTGTGCTGCCACCCTCATCTCTGTTACTGTGTTTGATTGAGCCCATTGTTGCTGCCAATATGTCAGTCCAGCTCATTGGTGGTCTTCCTCTTTTTCACTGACCCTCCACTTTACAAAGCATGATGTCCTTCTCCAGGGCTGATCCCTTCTGATAACGTGTCCAAAGAAGGAGAGACATCGCACCATCCTGGCTTCTAAAGGAGCATCCTAACTGCAGATCTTCCAGGATCTGTTCATTCTTCTCGAAGTCCGTGGTACTTCCGGTATTCTTTGTCATACTTCAAATGCACTGATTCTTATATGGTCTTCCTTACTTATTGTCCAGACTTTCATCGGCATATGAGGCAATTGAAAATACCATGGCTCCAGTTGGGTGCACTTTAGTCCTCAAGGTGACAACTTTGCTCTTGAGTACTTTAAAGAGGTCTTTTGCAGCAGATTTGAAATGTATATATATAGTTTGATTTCTTGACTGCTGCTTCCAAGAGTGTTGCTTGTATATCAAAGCAAAATGAAGTCACTGACAATTTCAATCTTCTTTTCCATTTATCATAATGTTACTTATGGGTCCGGTTGTGAGGATTTTCATTTTCTTCCCATTGAGGTGCATGCAGTTCATACTGAAGACTATAGTCTTTGATCTTCATCAGTATTTCAAGTCCTCTTTACTTCCAGCGAGCAAGACAGAGCTCAGCATTAGCAGAGGCCTAGCCAGCTGTCTCCTCCAGGTAGCCCTGGCTTGATAACCTTGTGAGGAAAGAATGCAGAACCCCCACAATCCCCATCCTTCATTCATTCCACAAATTCACAGGGCTCTTTTGTTCTAGGAGGCAATGGTTGTTGTTAAGTGCCTTGATTCAGTTCCAACCCATAGCAACCCTGTATAGGGTTTCTGAGAAGCGGCTATTTAGTTTGAACCACTGACTTTGCAGTTCAAACTGACTTTGTGATCGAGTGCTTATCCTACAGTGCCACACCACTATCAGACTTGAAATAAGAATACCCCAGGGGCGCAGAGTGGAGGGCAGCTCACCCAGCCTGGGGGAGACATCCCAGAGAAAGTGACCATTCACCTGAGATTCAAGAGGCATATATCTGGGAAGGTAGGGGGAAGCATTCCATGCTATTCCATCCAGAGGGAACAAGATTCAAAGATTCCACATTCATCTCCCCCTTCTGAGCTCTGCCCCCACCACCCACAACTCGTCTCAACAAATGTCTTCTCATTTCGGGCTCAGAAGCATTGTCCTAGCTGTGGAGGGCAGAGAGGGAGGAGCCGTCCTCCTCGCACACAGTGATGTCTGACAGTTGGGACATTACCCATAGTGCCTCTCTACTCAACATGGTTCTTTCTGTGCCTTCGTGTGTCAGCAGTCCTGGTGGGGGCAGAGGAGTCTCTGCTTCGATTTCTTTTTTTCTTCAAATTGTGTTTCTTCATTTCACTTCTTTCCTCTTTAGTTCCTCAAAACTCAACAACACAAAGACACCCTCTGTGGTTCATGATGGGTTTTGTTTCTTTTCCCTCCTTTTTGGTGAAAATATATACAATAAAACATATGCCGATTTAACAATTTCTACTTGTATAGTTGAGTGATGCTCGCTGGTTACAGTACTTGAGTTGCACAGCTTTCATGATGTTTTTTACATCTTAATGCTGATTCTGCTGTCATCCCTCTCCCCCCACCCCCACCCCACAAAGAGCTGTGATAAGGTTAGGATTCCACAGGCCTTGCTGAGTATTCCAGATTGGATCTCACAGCTGCCAAGATCCCAGGCCTGGGAAGTTTGAGATAAGGTAGGATAAAAAGATTGTTGGGTGGTTAAGCTCCAAATACGGCTCTGTTTCTACAGCATTATCTGTGCCATCCTGGCTCAGCCCTTGCGGAGAAAGGAGACCTCTGCTCCTAATCAAGCCCCACCATTCTCCACTCAGCAGTAATCTTAGGGCAGGTTAGAAAAACGCCGCTTCTCCTTTTCCAGTTATGTTGTGACTCGCTGCTCCATGTGAAGTTGTTGTTGGTTATGTGCTGTGGAGTCGGTTCCGACTCATAGTGACCCTGCATAGGGTTTCCAAGGCTGTAAATCTTTATGACAGCAGAAAGCCTCATCTTTCTACCGTGGAACAGCTAGTAGTTTCAAACTGTTGACCTTGAGATTAGCAGCCCTCTCGTGTGGTTGGCTTTGGCCATAGGAAGATGATGGGAAGTGTTGGAGATCACTTCCGGGCTACAGCTTTGAAAGCCTCAGGCATCCCCATGTCAAAGCAGGTCCTCCAAGACAGTGCACTTTCTGTGGCAGAGCCCTGTCACCACCAGCCCAGGTTCCTAACCGACCACCATGAAGAGAACCTCCACTGCCACCACACTGGCCCCAAATGGGACTGAGATTTTGGAGTTGCTTCTTATTGTGCCATAATCCTGCCTATCCTGAGAGACCCCCACCCGTCACTTGAGGGTCCTTTGTATTCCAGCTGAATTCCCACAGGCAAAGTTTAGTTTGTTTGAATTCCCATAGGCAAAGTTAGTTTCTTTGCTGTAACAAATGTGTTACAAAAGAGCCCTAGAGGTTTATTGTCTCAGTCTGGAGACTGCTAGAGCACATCTGCTTGGCTCTGCTTCGGGGGGAAGGGCCTCTTTCCTTGGTGGGCGCCCCAGGTATTCCTTGATGTTCCTAAGCTTGTTGCTTAGCCTCATGGTCCCTCCTTTTTGGGGTGTGTGGGTTTCCATGTCTGTTATCCTGTTTTGGAAGACATCACTTAGAAGGGATTGGAGTCCTGGTGGCTCGGTGGGTTAAGCATTTTACTCCTAGCCAGAAGGTCAGTGTTACAAACTCACCAGCCATATAAGGGACAAAGATAAGGCTGTCTGCTCCCATAGAGATTCACAGTCTCGGAAACCCTAAAGAAGAGTCCCGATCCAATAGGGTCACTCTGATTCAGAAACTCCTCTATTTCAGTGGCTATAGGGTCAGAAGGGATTAGGGTTAGGACCCATCCTACTCTATTATGGCCTTATTAACATATCAGAAGAAAACCCCTCATTTACAAAAAACAGGGTCACATTCAGAGGTACAGGGGTTAGGATTTCAACATACAAGGGGACCTCCTCGAAAGGTTCATTGAAAGATGACATTGAAAGATGATGGAATTTTTCCACGAACTATTAAAAGCCCCCTCTGATGTTTTGAGGGGACACAATTCAATCTGTATCAGGTCCCCCCAGTCTTGGGTTCTCTTCCCCGGAGACCATCTTCATCAGAGAAGTTAGGGTGGTTTTATACACTTGGCAGTAGGGTAACTGAAGGCCAGAACAAGCCTTATCCAAATTTCAAATCCTACCAAGCTGGCCATTGCCCTATCTTTTTTTTTTTTTTAATCGTTCAACTTTGTTTTATTCTCTCTTTTTTTTTAATTTTTAATTTTTTATTGTGTGATAATTTACATGGGGGAACATTAGTTTTACATTCATTCTATCATATATGGTTTCACTACCATGCATCATCACCCAACCAAAGGGTATACCCCGCAGGCCCCCTCCCCCCACAGCCATTGCCCTATCTTGAATTCAGCCCCAGGGTAGGATCACACACATGTGACTCTTGGGAGGAGCTAGCTTTCTGGGTGCCATTCAAACCTGGCAGAGTCTCTGCTGTTGTGTGCTGGTGCGTGGATTTCTGACTCCTAGTGACCCATGTGACAAAGGAGATTGCCCCACAGGATTTTCTAGGCTACACCCTCGGAAACCCTGTACAGGGTCGCTATGGGTCGGAACCGACTCGACGGCACTTAACAACAACAACAACAACAATATAGAAACAAATCACCAGGTCTTTCACCCAAGTTGCTGCTGGGTGGGTTCGAACTATCAACCTTTCAGTTAGCAGCTGAGCACTTCATTGTTGTGTCTCTACAAAGACCAACCAGATTCCTTACCATCAAGTGGCTTCTGAGTCACATGACCTTTATATAGGGTTTTCAGGGTTCAATCTTTCCGGGCACACACAGCCTCATCTTTCTCCTAAAGAGCAGCTAGTGGGTTCAAACTGCCAATCTCTCGGTTAGCAGTCCAATGCCTATCCCAGTGGGAAATTCAGCAACAACTGAGTTCCTGTGTGTGCCTGGCACCGTGTTAGCTATGTTGTTGTTGCTGTTAAGTGCCATCAAGTTAGTTCCGAAGCATAGTAACCCTGTATAG